GTGGAGATTTGGGACGGCATTGACTTTAGTCGGAAGGTTCTTCACTGTTATATTAAAGATCATCGGCGGTAGTACTGAGCGCCGTGGTGCTCCTCTACGTATGGGATATGGTTGAGAGGGTTGACCCTCAGGGTCCAGTATTCTCACCGTTTTGTCCATAAGGAAGTTCTTTACGTATCTCTACATTCTATTTGAAGGGTTCGTTTCGCAAAGGTTTCTTAGGATAGCATCGTCCGTGGAGTTATCGAATGCTCTTTTTAGATTCACCGCCACTATGGTGCGCTGTTGAACTGTGCTGGGGTAGTCGTACACCTGTTCTTTGATAATGTTTACTACGTCTTCCGTACTAACGTGCTTTCTGAACCCCACTAGGGTGTGCACCAGCTGATTCGTGGCTTCCAAGTGCCATTCTAGCCTGTTTAATGCCATCTTTTCCATTAGGTTTCCCATGCAGGACGTCTTGGATATGGGTCGGAGGTTCGCTGGCGTGTTGGGAAGTTTACCTGGTTCGGGAAGCATCATTACGTGCGCTTCTTTCCATTCTTCTGGTAACTCTCCCGTCGCCCACACCGTTGATGTGTCGCAGGAGCTCGTCGAGCTTGTTGTTAGGGATGTTTCTGAGCATTCCGTATACTATTTTATCCGGCCCCGGCGCGTGTTGCGCTTCAGCTGGAATAAGGCCGTTTGTATTTCTGCATCGGTGAAGTCCGAGTCTATCCCTTTGATCTCTTCGCTTTCCAGTGCGGTTTGGACTTCTCGACCTAAGCGGGTTTCTGCCGTTGATATTTGCTGTGCCATTGTCTGCGTTTCGTCTGGGTAGAATGTGTCCCTGATTTCTCCAACGAAGTCCTTCACGGGGGCTCCTGTGCTGAGCATCAGTTTCTTGAGCGTGTTCCTGGGTTTACGGTGCCCCATGATCGCGCGGAATATGTGACAAGCTTTGACCGTGTGCAAATGACCGTTCATGTCGTCGCAGAGTTGCATCCAGTTTTGGCTGGCAAATTTCTTCACGTATTCCTGGCTCTCCTGACTTAAGGCCAGTATTCTCGCCTTGAGGGTTCCGTCGTTCTTTTTCTTTTTGAGGCGTTTTGTGAGATTTCATCGCTTGGTCCATAGGGTCATTAGGTGTTGATCGACCGTTGGGTGGTCTTCTGTGTTCGCAATGTGTTTGGTGTGACGGTTGACCGTCTCTTGGATTGCTTCTGTCCAATATTTGCATCCAAGGTGCTTCCAGTTCACCCCTTGAAGTTCCTCTCTGACCTTGTGCCACGCCGTCAGCTTTGTCGTTCTGAGACGTTTTTCCCGTCCCCCTTTTTTTTTTGGAGTGATTTTGATTTCTATTATGTAGTGATCGCTGCCGAGCTCGTCTCCTGTGTTCTCCCACGTCACCCTGAGTGGGCCCTGGATCCACGTTAAGTACGGAGAGGTGTCCGTTGATGCGGTCCGCCAGTGCGCGTTGGCTGCGTCCTGTCATTTAGCAGGGTCATACCTTGATTGGCCTGAGAAGTTCTGCATTTTTCTCCCTAGTGGTGACGTGACCGTATATCCCCAAGATGGGTGTTGACAATTGAAATGTCCCAGTGTTACCACCGTGTCCCTATCCCTGTTGGGTCCTAGTTTAATGTCCAGGGGCGGGAGGCGTGCAGTAGGTTGGTTAGGTAGCCAGTAACTGTTGATTATATGAAGCCTGTGGTCTCCCAGAAGTGTGCTGGTCACCACTTGCTCCATTGTGGGCGTGTTGATTGCCGTTGTATCATGCTGTATAGAGGGAAGGCCGGCATCTCGTCTCCTGATGTACGTGGCTACCATAGTAGGGGTTATCACCGCGTTCTGCCCGGTAACCCGTTGATTGTGTTGGATACTCCGTTGCGTGTACATGTCGTACCCCAGTATGGCGTGAGCTCCGTTTCTTTCCTGCAGCACTATTATGTCCGGTTGTGTTCCAATTATTTGCATGTGCTGCAAGAGATGGCTCCTCTTTCGCCGAAACCCTCTGCAATTTCATAGCCATATGATTTTTTCGTCGTTCTTGTCTCTTGAGGTTGTTTTTGCTTGGTACGTCGTTGGTGTGCTGCTGTGTGGCGAGTTTGATTGTTGTCCCGCTTTTGTGTTATTTATTGCCATTTTGTTCTATGTTCGCGTTCGCGGGCGCGGGCATAGTGGCGCGCTTGTGTGGTCTGAGTGGCTCCTGGTGGGCCGCTAGTTATACTTGTATTGGTGCTAGTGCCTGTTGGATCATTCGTTGGAGCATCGGGGCAAGTGCGGATAAGATGGTGAGTATGGACTCTGCAATTATAGTAGATATCTTTTGGCGTAGTTCGGAGTAGTCATTTGTATTGGTTTGCTGGTATTGGGGGGTTGCGAGGCCGGTGTTCTTGGTGCTTGTATTGTGGCGGGTTTTAGAACCCTTGGTGCAGAGGGAGTGGGTTGTGAGGCCGTGCCGCTCAACTGGGAGTCCATGGGTTCTGCCACTTCCTGCATGTTCGGGATCACCCGTGGGTAGCTGCTACTGTCATTTTCCCGGTTGGCTCCTCTTTGTCCTCCTTGGCCGTGTGTTCTAATTGCCAGTTTTTGGTACCACGGGTTGTGTGAGGGTTCTTGGAACCTGGTTCGTTTGTGTTGGTCTTGTTGTAGCTGTTGTGGTTTTCTTTGATTTGCCCTACTGCGGCTTCTGGCTCGTTTGTTGAGGGTCACATTTTGATTGGCAGTGTTGGATCCCTTACCCCTGCTGTAGCTTCGGCTGCGGCTCCTGCCTCTGCTGCGGCTGCGCGATGGTTTATCTAGTTGCCCGAACCTGTTGCTTATTGGGAGGTCCGGTCATTCCTGCGGGTTCTGCTTCGGGTTTGTGTATGGTGATCGTTTCGTGTTCAGTTGTTGGGCTCTTGCTTGACGTGCTTGACATGCTTCGAAGCGTTCCTTTATAGCTTCCGCTACCGCCTGCTTGGCTGGGCATTGCGGGTCCGTGGCGGCGTGATCACCTTTGCAGTTGGCGCATCGCAGCTCGCAATCGTGCGGCGTCTCGCTTGGATTTAGTTTCGGAGGGAATTGTTTTCCGCATGCTGTGCAGCGTATGTACTCTTTTTTGCACGGGCATACGTCTCGAGTTATGTTGGAGGCTGAGGCAATGGGCACACTGCCTACTCCGCTGTCGCGGTGGATACATGCGGTACACTCCCGAGTCGTATATGGCGTACCTTGGAAGCGACGGGCCCTCCACGGTGATGAGAATGGTTTTCGTCGTACCGAGTCGCCTGAATCCCAAGACCATTCGGTTCTGCACTCTGAGGTTCTCCTTGATAAAATCGTCAGTTGCGTCCAGCGGGATGCCGTGAATCACTCCTCTCGCGTTTTCTGCCGCGTTCGCCACGTATGCACAGATGTAGTGCGCACTTGAATTTGTTGCGTTGTCATGATTTTTTGTACTACCGTGGCTCTGTAACTGTCCACGATAAAGATATTCTGCGGCGCTCGGAGTTTGAAGTAGGTGTCTGGACAGTCTTGTTTGGTGAAGGCTACCGCCATTTTGAGGGCGATGGTTAGTGCGGCGAGGCCTATCGAGGCGAGGTGCTCCTTGTTCATCAGCTTCAGCACGACCGTCGTCGCCTTCTGCTGTCTTGGTGCCGGAGTGGTGAGCTTCTACTCCGTTGTTCGATAAGTTAAAGAATCCTGCACGTCCATAATGAATATGTGAGCGCTATCGGCGGTGCCGACTGTTATGGGTGTGCGGGGGACGCCCCGGGTCGTCCCTGGTGAAGCTCTGTTGGCGTTAGGCCTCGCTGCACAGATGTACAGCTGCCAGGCTTAGCTTGCCGGGCCGGTGTGGCCAGTGATCGAGGGCTGATTGCTCACCCGAAAGTGATCGCTGGGTCGGAAGTTTCAGTTTCTAGGTTGTCGGTGGTCTCCACTCTCCTCCCTGCTGGTTTTCTGTAGATTCCGCGGGTTAGAATTGGCAATATTCGACCTTGAATCGGGAACTTGGCATGGGCTACATGTTCCACATTGCCTCGTCGTCGTCGTTTTTTTGGGAAGATCATGGCGGCACAGCGCTAACAGCGCAACGCGGAACTAAATTTTAGACGCCATGTTCTTCCATGAAGTTGCACGCGGCATGTGTCTCGAGCATTTCCATAACATTAGATGGGGACCCATAACATTGGAGGGGGCACCTTTTCCCAGAACAGAGGGGCTTTAAGTTCAACAGGCTTATACCGCCGGTGGTGGTTTCTTGTATAATAACTAAAACAAAGACAACAACAAAAAACTAGGTGATGACCTTCAAAGGAACACTTTACTAGTTATTTTCGTTTATTGAAATACACCACTTGCAACCTCTGCTCCGCGTTGCTGCGATCAATGCTCTCCCGGTTCGAGGAGGCCAAGTGCATGGGAGGATAGCGAACTTCTTTCAGGACGGAATACGCAGAGTTTTCGGCGCATCACTCGTAGAATAACCGTTCGCATCGAAACGATACCTAGGTTCTTATTCGGGCCGCGTCCAGAAATATTCTTTGTGCTGCTCGTTCTACTTTAACCATGTGCTCCCTCGTTGCAAGGCTCTCCTTCCTCGTTTCCTCAAGAACTGTAGTAGATAAAGTCCGGTTTTTCATGGAACTTACTGATTTAGTTCTATATGTGGCGAATTAAGATATATATAGGTCAACTTCAGATTACCTTACGGTTTCTTTTTTAATCTAGTTTTTTTTATTAAGACGTACACCTTTTAAACATCGAAAGCATTGTTTCTTCCTTCGTCGGCCAAATCTTGTAAGAACGGTACACCGCATAAATAATGCGCAAAACTTACTTTTTTTTTCTTGATGTGGCAACAAATTTATTCTTCATATGCCGCAAACCACGACGATTCGGTCAAACCGTTCTCGCGAGTTCCTGTGCAATTTGCGCGCGCATGCGCTGTTGTTTTGGCGAGTCGTTTATAATTAGTCTCTCATATCAAACGTAACTTGTTATATTATAGACAAAGATAATAGAATGGACAGGTTTTATAGACTTTCAGACTTCTTTTGGCCTTTGGTTTTTCCGCCCTTTTTCGTCTTGGCTTTTGAAAGGTATTTCGGTGGCGTGTTTACACACTGGCCACGGAGACATATCTGTAGAAGAATGTAAAAGGGCAATAACTCAAGAAGGGAATCATGGGATGCATAATATAATGACCCGGAGCAACAAAAGAAAAACAACAGTACAACTTAATATATGACAGTTTTTTTTTTTTTTTTTCGGTGTGCATAGTTCAGGGCAAGGTCAAAATAAGTTCACACACGGGTTGCTCCGTATTCTTGACACATTTATTCAGGCAGCATTTTCTTTAATTTCTGAAGATTTCTGATGATTCGTGAGTGATTGAACAGCAATATACTTGGGACAAACAGACATAATGGCACATGCCGGTTTATAGTTTTGGATTGAGGAACTCGATCTTTGCCTATCCCTCGTCAATGGACTATGTTAAGAGCAAGTTCGTCTGCTTCTTTTGCGGGGGTTGGGGTTACGTCAGAGCGCCGACCTCTGATTGGCTCTGAATAAAGAATAGTGGGTAGACTTCAAGGCAGCTAGCTTCGAGATCTACCCACTATCCGTCAATCGGAGCCAATCAGAGCTTGGCGTCTTTCTGACGTCACCGCAACTCCTGCAAAAGAAGCAGACGACTTGCTCTCCACATAGGTTTTGAAAGTGCGCGCCATCTATGATCTGTTCGCCCTTAATTAAGCTGAGACTGAAGCCAAGCTATTCGCGTTCGTGCTCTCATGATTGTGGCATTGGCTGCAGTCTCGGTGGACGTTACTAGATTAGCTCAGTCATGGAACTGTCCATAGACACTTACTTCACGAGCAGTACCCAACCCCCCCCCACCCATGATACGCCTCCCGCATAGCCTCCCGTCGTTCGACGCGCCACCGTTGTGTAGACGGCCGCTATGGTAACTGCATGTATTATGTGGAGTCATGGCCCCCGAGATACAACGCGCGGTTTCGGAGGCCCCAATGCAATACGTATGTTTTGAAGTATACAGCCAGCACAACGTCTAGGTGGCGTATCACCGTACTCTACAAAACACACCGCTTCGAGGCGAAAAATTAGATGGCGCTACAAACGACAGGAGGGTGAAGGCCGCTTGATGTGTTTGTCTTTGTCCTGCAAGACGCGTCAAATGCGCCGGTGCACGAGGCTCGTGTCTCGAGCGGCCCTTGAAAGCAAATGGCGGCCCAGCACTGAAATGAGCGACCCTTGGAAGCGAATGGCGACGGAGCACCCGCTTGTTGCACGTGTCTTGCGTGTTTCCAAAAGAATGATTGGCGGTACTTGTAAAAAAACACCTTTATCAAGGGGCTTTGTGGAGGCGGACTGAACGGGTTGGGGTGTGCGGCGGGGGGGGGGGAGGGGGCGGTGTTACTTTCCATCTAGTAACATTCATAGGTTTTTAAAAAATGAAAGCCGTTTAGAGAGAGAGATGAATCGTTTTATTAAAACAATCGGAAATCCGGCTGGAGTTAGTCTTGCCACTAGGCCGACATTGTCCCACGCGCGAAAGAAAAAATATAAAATTAAATTAATGAGAAGATAAAAAGGAAGAGGATAGATATGAGAAGATTAGAGGAGGTATTAAAGTTAGTGGTCAGAAATTTCCACTGTTGTCTTTGTCACGTTTGTAGTATATGAGCCTTTTACAGTTGAGTGTGTAGGCCAGTGGCTCGGAGGAAATCCAAAAATAATCTCTGAAGTAATTTCCTCGTAGCACGAGTACCAGAAGGAAATATAAGTTGTGCTGTGTCCTGTATCACAAATTTGTGCTTTCTCAGCTCAGCCGAGAATGTTTTTCTTTCCTCTTCAAACTTTGGACAATCGTCCAGCATGTGATTGAGGTCTTCGGTCACTCCACATTTGCTGCAGGTATCGGTATCTCGCTTTTTCCAGCGGTGCAGCAGTTGGCCTGTACGTGCACTCCCTGTACGTAAACGGAAAAGCAGAGTGGCGTCTGCGCGGCGGAAATTTCGGGTTAAGCACGGCTGAACCGGAGAGGAGTGGCCTATGGATAACGAGCATATATGATCGTATATAGTTTTTTAGAAACTTCTAGTATCTTCTGTGGTCTTAATGCTAGCGGGTAAATTATGAGCTGCGGAAGCAAGTTGATCCGCTTTTTCGTTGCCTCGTAGCCCGATGTGTGCCGGCCGGTACCCACTGATAGTAAATTTTGAAACCATTCGCTTCCAGCGTTTTTGTAGTTAATTTAGCTGCCGTGGCTGCTTTCGACGTTTCTTGGGGTCTTTGTAGCTGTTGGAGAGCAGCACGAGAGTCTGTTAGTAAAACCACATTTTGTGGTGTGAGCTTACTTATCATACTGAGAGCTTCTACAATCGCATACATTTCAGCTATTGTTGACGAAACCATCTTATCGAGTCGTCCACTCCATTCAAGTTGTAAACTAGGCATATAGAAAGCGGAAGTACCGCTTCTTCTGGTTCGATTTACTGACCCGTCTGTGTATACTTGTAGACAGTCAGCGTATGTTATCGAGATATATTCAATTGTGTTTTGCTTGATTACTGTTACATTTTCGCTCATCTTATTGCGTACACCCGGAATCGGCGTTACAGGAAGTTGAAAGCCGTTTACAACTTCCTGTAACGCCGATCTAGAGTGCAGCTCTTGAGGAGAAGGAGGAAAGGTTCTGAGGGCAGGGTATACACCTCCTCTCTCCTCCTCACCTCCTCATTCTGCCTGCTACTTCTCCCCCCGAGTGGCGTCGCCCGCGCCGTCGGCGTAACCATGAGGTCACATGACCCTCGTGACGTCACGTGACCCTCGTAATCTCACGTGGGTCACGTGACGTCACCTGAGTCACGTGACCTCACGGGGGTCACGTCACGCCGACGTCGCTCAAGCCGGAAACGGGCGCCTAAGAGCTGCGCTCTAAAAATTACGAGGACACTTCAGCACTCCTTATCAGTTGTGAATACGAAAGCGTTAATGTCGTTCTTCCGCCCCCTTAGTTCGTCTGCGATTTACTTGCGTGGACGGCCACGTTTTGCTACTGCCGATGTTGCGGCCGCCGACGATGATTCTGGCGCCGCCATGTCCCTCGGCGCCGAGAAGAGCAGAAGCGGCCGCAGCGGCCGCGCGCAGGCAGGGTGTGCAGCGGTGCGCAGCGCAGGCCGCCCTGGCTCACTGGTAAATGTTGCGCCGCTGGGTAAGCGAGCGGAGGGAGTAAGAAGCTTGTCGTGGCGCGTGCGAAAATCAGGTGTCCTCTCCTCCTCATCATCGTCGCTCTAGCTGCGGGTACCGGTTGACGACGTTACTCCTCAAAGCGTAACGGGAGGCCTAACGTTAGGCCTAACGTCAGGCCAGCGCATAACCTCCCACTGCGCCGCCAGCAGTTCGGCTGGTTCCTTAAGGTGTATCCACACGACGGACCAAATTGCCGTTTTGGTCCGCGGGCCGCGCATCACGTGATCTTACGTCACCGGTTTTCGAGGTCCGCCTGCGGTCCGCGGCCCGCGCTTCTGAGAAATGCCAAGCGACTTTCTCGCCCGGACCTTGGCGGCGGACCGCGGCGTTTTTAGTATAATTGAAGCGCTAAGTCTGGCAACAAGCTGACTTTTGTTGTTTGGATTGGAATCCAAAGCAAAAGTCGTTTTCTTTTGGCGCCAACTGTTGAAGACGAAGAAGACGAACCTTTTGTTGTGCGACGATGCAACTTTTTACTTCATCGTTCTCGTGGAGCAATTCCCCGCTCTGTGGGACACTAGTCGCGACGACTACTCAAATAATCATCTAAAGATGTCCTCATGCCTTTTTCGCTTCACTTAAGTCCTCCTCGTCCTCAATATTCAACGCCAGGGCCACCGCGGCCAAATGTCTCTTTCGTACAACCTCCATCTTGGCTCCTTACAAATAGTCTCAAAGCAGCTCGCTGCATGCGTTTGGCGGAGCTGTGAGGTCGAGGCTTAGACCGGCCCGTTCGCTCTGTCGTCTGCTCTTTTGGTCCGCCGTGTGGATGCTCATTGCAGCCGGGCGGCCCGCGGGCCGCGCATCACGTGATCAATCGGTCCGCGGCCCGGTCCGTCGTGTGGATACACCTTTAGCAGCGATGATGCCGTTGGTATGGAGCCACATGACTCGTCGCAGCCAAAGGGAATTTAGGTGCCGTTTTTCGCTGCTACAGAGAACGCCGACTTCGCTCCATGGGACAGTTAATGCTTTCGCATTAAAACATTCCAAACGAATATCGTTGCATGGTCCCTTTAATTTTTTGAGCTACCCAAACTAACCATATTTTTGAATTACCGGCCTCTACCCTTTTTCTGATATTCTATTTAGTATCGCGAAACTCAAAGTAGTTATCTTGAAATCGGCAAGTGAAAATGATGGCAACACTAACCTTCAAATATACCCCCGCATTTCAGTGCCGTGACGTCAGGGAAAGGCAGGCTTGAAGCTCGAGCGAGCCATCTAAACATGGACCATGCCGAGCCTTTGTTTCGTGCTGCTGCGTTGGTGCTGGAGCGAATTCCAAAGCATTTACTTGTCACCATGAAACTGCTTGTAATCAGTTGGGAACAAAGACTACAGTCATAAGAGTGAACCCTTTTCTTCCGCTGACGTCACTTTTATTAACGCGAAAGCATTAACTGTCCCATGAAGCGAAGCCGGCGTTATCCGTAGCAGCAAAAAACGGCACCTAAAGACCGATGGACCGAGCGAAACCGCACCAAAAAGTCCGAGGATACATAAGCAGATACGAGCTGCGAATGCGAAAGCATGCCGCTTGCGACGTATTGCTTCCGCCTGGCGTTGTCGAAGGGTGTCGTTCTCTTGCAGCCTGAAACGCTTTGAATCGCGATCCGCTTGCGCCTCGCGCTTTCAAAAGGCTTTGTTCTGTCTCCCAGCGCGTGCGTCCGTCCGTCCGTCCGTCCCTCCGTCCGTAACATTTCTAAGGGGCGGCAGGTTGCGCCACCTAGCCTAATATTTCTTCGTCTCTTCTGTTTTCTTTTTTTGAATTTGTGTAAATTTTGTTTTAAAGGGCAACATTGGTCCATACTTTCGATTTTGGGATTATGACTCTTTTTAGTGCAGTCAGCGTCCCTGAATT